AAAACTCTATAAAAATACAGTTGAGCGTAATAAAGTAAAAGAAGAACATAAAACAGAGACTATTAGGCAACTATTATATATTTGATCGTATATGTCGGATGCAGGAGCATGCTACCCAAAATTTTGCCACAGTTTCGGTAATTGTCCGGTTCCCATCAATTAACAATCGGTTACGCTGCTCAGCACCTGATTGTCCCACCATATCTGTTATAAGAGGAGTAATACCACCATATCTGTTATAAGAGGAGTAATATATTTGTAACGGATCTTGTTATACCAGTTACATCTGAGCATCATGTGCTCAATAGTTTCTATCTCTCCTGAGCTGCATCGACAAAGTCTATATTCAGTAGAGATCCTTTTGAACCTGCCCTCAAGCATCGCAGAGGGGAAAGCCTCACATCTGGCTAATGTGAAGGTTTTCCTAAACTTGTGAGTATCAAGCTGTGATAAATAGGACATGGGTTGCAAGCCATATTTGACGAATCTGGGGCTCTAAACTTAGGACATCTACCGAAATCTGTCTGTCTCTCCATGTCCATCATTCCCTGTTTTAGGTCTGAGTTTGCTACATCCCAACACATACTCAGAATCGCTTGGGGGGGGGGAACCAAGATCATTTTATGAACTGCTCTCATCCATTTGGATTGAAAGTTGTCTGAGAGTAACAAGTGGGTGAGTCCCTGAGGATGGAAATTTAGTTTAAGCCAATACTGGAGTGAAGCTAAAGTAATTTTGGCTTCCATTGATATAGCACCTGTCTCTAGATGGATCAGTGTATTCGATACACACCTCGGGACCTGAAGAACTGCTCTGAGAAATTTGGACTGAACTCGCTGTAAGGGGGCAAAACTTGAGGAAGGAGGCCCAAAAAAAGTGCCATAGAGCATCTGTCCAACTGCCTTTGCTTGAAAGAGTTTTTGGGCAGCTGGCACATAATAAGCCCCTTTGGTGCGATAGAACTTAAGAATAGCTTTGGCTGTTCTTTCACTTTGGGAGGTGACATACTGTATATGGGCTTTCCTAGCCCCATTTTATTGAAGGACCATACCTAAGTATTTAAAGCAGGAAACCTGCTCTAATGAGGCAGTAACATTCTCATATAGTCTCAGTACTTTGGACTATTGGCATATGTGCATGTCAAGTTAAACTTTATAAAACAACTCTTTAATAATGTATTATTAAACCTTATACATGTTTTCAGTAGTTTAAATACTATATCTATGGCAGACATAGGAATTACGTAATGATATAGATCAGCCCTATAGCCAGGAATTTTTTTGAGAGGGGATGCTGGGGTGCCGAGGGGGGTGCTGCTAATTAAATTAAATTTAATTAAATGGACTGATCTGCAGGCCCCCACAGGCCTGTGGGGAGGAGGCTGGGGCCGGGTCTGTTACCTTGTAGCTGTATTTGGATCGATGCCAGGGCCTTGTCGGGGGGGGGGGGGGGGGGGACTTGCTCCCAGCTCAGGTAGGCTGCCCGGATAGAGACGTACATCAATCAGAGGCCTGGAGCACAGCTGACCCCAGCTGGTTCAACACCTCATCCCCGCGACATGCAAAACTCACCAGCCAGCTGGAGAGGAGAGGAAATTAAAATGTTGCAAACGTTATTGAACATGGAGCCAGATAGCAGATCTCTAATAGGAGATGCGGAGGCCAGGGGAGGTCCTCCTCCAGAGCTCTTTTTCCACCGGCCACTCTATTCCTTTAATTCCTCCCTCCCCCCTCCTTTGGAACACCCAGCCCAGAAAAAAATATGCAGGAAACACTGGGGGGCAGGTTCACCTCTAGCTGAGGGAGGCGGAGAGCCATTCACTCCTGAGCAAGGAGTGGTGGCAGCAGCATGGAGCAGGCTCCTAGCTCTTCCACATTACTGGTCCCTCATCACTGGTCCTGTACTCGCTGCCTCCTTCTCCAGCTGCTGTTGCCTTCCCCCTTGGCTCTGTCACTCTCTCCCCTTGCATGGCCAGGCTACTTTGCCTCACTGAGGGGGAGGATGAAGATGAGCATGGTGAAGAGACGGTGTGGGGTGCTGCATATTCGATTGGGGGTGCCACCTTCAGTGACCCACCACTGGCTATGGGCCTGCTACAGATTCTTACATAATATTCATATAGCACATTTTAAGTAGAACATTGTGTTTCATTACCCTCATTCCAAAATGTGGGAAAAAATAATAGGAGTTTTCCCGCCAGTGTTCTCATATTTCCCAGTTTTCTGCTGGAAGAAATTGGAAAAGGTCCTTGGCAAAAGTCCCTCCCCCCAGAAAAAAAGTTCCATCTTTAAGTGAGAGTCTCCTCTGACCCCTCAGCTCACCCATTCTGCTACTGGTAGAGCTGCTGTTGTGGCAAAATAGCTTCCAGCAAATACACAAATCTCATAAAAACACATGGAAACAGGCTGCACCCTCATTACCCTCTGTGGCAACTGCTGGGCTTCTCAGGTGTTGGCTGTTTCCCCACTCCCAATTTATTTCATTTATATTTATGTATGTATGTATTTATTTATATTCCAATTTATATCCTGCCCTACCCCGCCAAAGCAGGCTCAGGGTGGCTATTACACTTTTCTCTCCAGTGGAGGCCCAAATTGGCTTGCAACATTCTCTCCTTCCCCATGTCATCTTCACAACAACCTTGTGCAATAGGTTAGGTTGAATGTGTGTGACAGTCACAAGCAAGCTTCTATGGCAGGAGTTCAGACACGGGTCTCCCATATACTAGCCCAGTACACTACCGGACCCTCCCCCCCCCCCCGATTGCTCTATCACCTTTACAATCCAGATGTGAATGACATTGAGTTGGGGTGGAGGAACAGAGGGGGAGACAGAAAATGGAAGGAATGTGAAAGGAAAACAGATGGAGGAATGTAAACAGGGCGAAGGAGAATGAAGAAGAATTCAAAGGGATATGGAAGGGGACAGGAAGCGGAGCAAAAAGCAGGCACCACGAAGGCAGTGGAAATCTCTCATTTTTGGTCATCACATGGTCTTTGATACAGTGGACTGGTATATCCTGGTGGGAAGTTTCTGGGACTTAATGGGAATAAACAACTGGTTTTAGAATAGAATACTTGAAACCTGGGTGATGCACCTCTGGGAGCCATAAGTCCCACGGGGATCTATTATTATTGTTGTTGTTGTTGTTGTTAAAATTTCTGGATCGACCAGTCCCTGAGTACACAAGGCTCTGGGTGATTTACAAGTTAAAAACATTATAAAATTACATAATAAAATCAACTATCAGTCCTATTTTAATAGTCTCCAGATGTCATCCATAATCCAAAACCTACTCTGGACTGTTCTTCTATCTAGTGGGCAGGTTAGGGAGGAAGCCAAAGAAGGTGGAATGGAGGAAAAGAAGGAGCCAGCAGTGATGGAAAACCATTGCTGTCCTCAACCAAAAGCTTGGTGGAACATCTCTGCCTTACAGGCCCTGCGGAATTGCATTAAGCTCCAGAGGGCCTTGATGGGAGCTGGCGAAGAGTTCCACCAGGTTGGAGCCAGGGCTGGGAAAGCCCTGGCTCTGGTCAAGGACAGCCAGATACCGTTAGAGCCAGGGGTCACCAGCAAATTGCTCTCAACAGAGCACAGCACTCTCCCAGGGACATGTCAGAGGAGACGGTCCTGAAGATATGCAGGTCCCAGATTATTCAAGACCTTAAAGGAGAATACCAGCACCTTGAATCTGACTCGGTATTCCACTGGAAGCCAGTGTAGCAAGCACAGCACAGGTTGTATATGTGCTGTCCGTGGTGTTCCTGTCAGGACTCGTGCCACCTCATTCTGGGCCAGCTGGAGTCTATGTAATAATTAGCATAGTTAAGTTATTGAAGGAAGGGGGGAAACCCCTTCCTATTTTATGGGGTATGTATTGAGAACGTAAGAACATAAGAGATGCCAATGTTGGATCAGGCCAAAGGCCCACCCAGTCCAACACTCTGTATCACACCGTGGCCAGAAATACCAGTGCCATCAGGAGGTCCACCAGTGGGGCCAGGACATTAGAAGCCCTCCCACTGTTGACCCCCCCAAGCACCAAGATGACAGAGCATCACTTGCCCCAGAGTCCCTATCTATACTTGTGGCTAATAGCCACTGATGGACCTCTGCTCCATATGCTTATCTAATTCCCTTTTGAAGCTGTCCATGCTTGTAGCCGCCACCACTTCCTGTGGCAGTGAATTCCAAGTGTTGATCACTCTTTGGGCGAAGAAGTACTTCCTTTTATCCGTTCTAACCCGACCGCTTGAGTTCCCATGAGTTCTTGTATTGTGAGAAAGGGAGAAAAGTACCTCTTTCTCTACCTGCTCTTTCCCATGCATAATCTTATAAACCTCAATCATGTCACCCCTCAGTCGTCGTTTCTCCAAGCTAAAGAGCCCTAAGCGCCTTAACCTTTCCTCATAGGGAAAGTGTTCCAACCCCTTTATCATTCGAGTTGCCCTTTTCTGCACTTTTTCCAAAGCTATAATATCCTTTTTAAGGTGTGGTGACCAGAATTGCACACAGTATTCCAGATGAGGTCACACCATTGATTTATATAGGGGCATTATGATATTGGCTGATCTGTTTTCAATACCCTTCCTAATAATCCCCAGCATAGCATTGACCTTCTTTATTGCAGTCACACACTGTCTCGACATTTTCAGTGAGTTATCTACTACAACTCCAAGATCTCTCTCTTGATCAGTCTCTGCCAGTTCAGACCCCATCAACGTGTATTTATAGTTAGGATTTTTGGCTCCAATGTGCATCACCTTGCACTTGGCCACATTGAACCCCATTTGCCATGTTGACGCCCACTCGCCCATCTTTGACAGATCCCTTTGGAGTGCCTCACAATCCTCACTGGTTTTCACCACCCTGAACAACTTCGTAGTTGAGCCAGTCTGAGAAAATGCTATGCATATACAATATTGTATATCCTGATATGTTTAGTGCCATGTACTTGTTGGGTTTGTGGCAGTTCTAATAACCTGTCATTGTTTCCACAGCGTGGTGCTATGAGACGTCGTTATGAGGATGATGGCATCTCAGATGATGAGATTGAGGGCAAACGAACATTTGATCTTGAAGAGAAACTTACCACAAACAAATTTAATGCCAACTTTGTTGTCTTTATGGAAGGCAAAGGTGAGGGTCCCTTCCCTTGTGGTTCCCAGATTATTTCTGTCTGATGAATGATTTTTTAGAAATACAGGCACTTGTT